GTAAAGAATGAATAAAGCAATCAATGAAATGCTCAGTGAATCAACTGATCAATCAATCAATTGCCCAATGAACAAACCAACTGATCAATCGCAGGTGACAAGGTCCTCGGACTGCGGGATGGGGACAGGTGGAGTAATCAATTAATCAATCAATCAATCAGGCTGGATTGGCGTCAATCAATTAAGTAAAGAATGAATGAAGTAATCAATCAATCAATCAACTCAACTGATCAATTGCAGGCACCCAGGTCCTCGGACTGCGGGATGGGGACAGGTGGAGTAATCTATCTATCTATCTATCTATCTGGCTTGATTGGCTGAGCAATCAATCGATCAATTAAGTAAAGAATGAATGAAACAGTCAATCAATCAGTCAATCAAGGAAACAACAGACCAACAAACCAATAAAGCAACCAATGGAAAAACAATGAGCCAACCAATCAACAAACGAATCAATCAACCAACTGAGTGATCAATCAACCGCCCAATGGATCCATCAACCAATTTTCCAAGCAATAAATCAACAAACCAACTGACCAACTGATCAATCAATGAACCAACTGACCAGCAGAGAAACCAACCGACCAATCAACCAATGAATTGATATAACAAACCAATCAATCAATTAATCAACCAACGATGAACTAACTGATCAATCAACAAAGCAATGAACCAATCAACCAACCAAGAAATCAATCAATCAATCAATCAATCAATCAATCAATCAATCAACCATTCAGATAATAAACCAACCAACCAATGAATTGATCTACCAACCAACCAATCAATCAATCAATCAACAATGAACTGACTAACAGCCAACAAACCAATGAACCAATCAATCAACCAATCATCCAATGAACCATCAAACCAACCAATGAATTGATCTGATGAACAAATCAACCAACCAATCAACCAATGAACTGACTGACAAGCCAACAAATCAATGAACCAGTCAACCAACAAATCAATCAATCAATCAATCAATCAATCAATCAATCAATCAATCAATCATCCATCCAACCAACCAACCAACCAACCAACGAACCATTAAACCAACCAATCAACCAATTAATTGATATAAGAAACCAATTAATCAACCAATGAACTGACTGACCAGCCAACAAATCAATGAATCAATGAATCAATCAATAAATCAACCAACCAACCAACCAATGAATTGATCTAACAAACCAACTGATCAATCAACAAACCAAACACAATGAGCCAACTGACCAGCCAAGAAACAAAGGAATCAATCAATCAATCAACCAATCAATCAATCAACCACCAACAAACCAATCAACCAATGAACCAACAAACAAACCAACCAATTAATTGATCTAAGAAACCAACTAATCAATCAACCCATGAACCGACTGATCAGCCAACAAATCAATCAACCAATCAATCAACCAACCAATGAACCATCAAACCAACCAATAAATTGATCTAAGAATCCAATCAATCAATCAATCAACTGACTGACCAGCCAACAAATCAATGAATGAATCAATCAACTATCCAATCAACAAACCAATGAATCAACCAATTAATTGAGCTAAGAAACAAATCAACCAATGACCTGACTGACCAGCCAGCAAATGAATTAATCAATGAATGAATCAATCAACCAACCAATGAACCATCAAACCAACCAACCAATAAATTGATCTAACAAACCAACCGATCAATCAACAATGAATTGATCTAACAAACCAACCGATCAAGCAAACAACAACCAATGAATTGATCTAACAAACCAACCGATCAATCGATCAACAATGAATTGATCTAACAAACAACCAATCAATCAATCAACCAATGAATTGATCTAACAAACCAACCGATCAATCAATCAATCAACAATGAATTGATCTAACAAACCAACCGATCAATCAACCAATGAATTGATCTAACAAACCAACCGATCAATCAATCAACAATGAATTGATCTAACAAACCAACCGATCAATCAATCAAACAATCAATCAACCAACCAATCAACCAATCAATCAATCAATCAACCCACAAATCAACCAATCAATCAACCGATCAACCAATCAACAAATCAATGAACCAATCAATCAATCAACCAATCAAGGAACCGTTGCAGCATTCAGAGGTTTCCCCCCAAGCCGCATCCTCTCCCCCCCACGGCCGAGTGCTGGCGGCCATGTTGGCTCATGGTATCATGGGGACGAGGGACGTGCCGGGCTCTCTTCACTCTTGGCCACCGCACCATGGACAGAAGGAGCCGGTGGCAACGCGGGGGACACAAATGGCGAATGGCTTTGGGCTCCACCCCCCTGGAGCAGCTCCCAGAAACCCCCTCTGCCCAGAATCACCTTCCGGGGCGGTTCTCCATTGGCCACCAGAGGACGGCTGGTGGCTCCTCCGAGCCGTGGGCAACGTGGATGGTCCTTCCCATGCTGAGGGACAGGAGATGCCGGGGTTTAACCTGGGAAGGACCCATGGGATCCCTGGGGAGCAGTGTCCACCTCGACTTGTGGGTGCCACCACCTCGCCAAGGTCCAGCTTCTCTGAGGGACCACCTTGGTAAAGACCAACTCGGAGGGACCACCTTGCCAAGGACCAACTTGGAAGGACCATCTCACCAAGGAGCATTTTTGAAGGACCACTTCGCCAAAGATCAGTTTCCCTGAGGGACCATCTCACCAAGGACCAACTTTTGAAGGACCACCTTGTGAAAACCAACTTTGAGGGACCACCTTGCCAAGTTCCAGCTAGGAAGGATCACCTTGCTGACGACCAGTTTGAGGGACCACCTTGCTGTAGACCAGCTTTGAAAGACCATCTTGCCATGGACCAGCTTTGAAGGACCACCTCGCCAAGGTCCAACTTGGAAGAACCACCTCACCAAGGACCAGCTTTGAGGGACCTTCTTGCTAAGGACCAGCTTAGAAGAACCACCTTGCAAGGACAGACTTCCCTGAGGGACCATNTAACAAACCAACCGATCAATCAATCAACAATGAATTGATCTAAAAAACCAACCGATCAATCAATCAACAATGAATTGATCTAACAAACCAACCGATCAATCAATGAACAATGAATTGATCTAAAAAACCAACCGATCAATCAATCAACAATGAATTGATCTAACAAACCAACCAATCAATCAATCAACCAATGAATTGATCTAACAAACCAACCAATCAATCAATCAATCAATCAACAATGAATTGATCTAACAAACCAACCGATCAATCAATCAACAATGAATTGATCTAACAAACCAACCGATCAATCAACCAAACAATGAATTGATCTAACAAACCAACTGATCAATCAATCAACAACCAATGAATTGATCTAATAAACCAACCAATCAGTCAATCAATCAATCAGCCAAACACAATGAACCAACTGACCAGCCAAGAAACAAAGGAACCAATCAATCAACCACTATCCAACCCACAAACCAACCAACCAACCAATGGACCATCAAACCAACCAAATAATTGATCTAAGAAACCAACTAATCAATCAACCAATGAACCGACTGACCAGCCAACAAATCAGTGAACCAATCAATCAACCATCCAATTAACAAACCAATGAATCAACCAATTAATCGAGCTAAGAAACAAATCAACCAATGAACTGACTAACCAGCCAACAAATCAATGAATCAATGAATCAGTTAACCAACCAACCAATGAACCATCAAACCAACCAACCAACCAACCAACCAACCAACCAACCAACCAACCAACCAACCAACCAATTAATTGATCTAAGAAACAAATCAATCAACCGATGAACTGACTGACCAGCCAACAAATCAATGAGTGAATGAATCAATCAACCATCCAATTAACAAACTAACCAACCAATGAATTGATCTAACAAACCAACCAACCGATCAATCAAACAACAATGAATTGATCTAACAAACAAACCAATCAACCAATCAACTCATCAATCAACCAATCAATCAATCAACTCGTCAACCAATCAACAAATTAATCAACCAATCAATCAACCAATCAACCAATCAATCAACAAATCAATGAACCAATCAATCAATCAATGAATCAAGCAACCAGAAACCGTTGCAGCATTCAGAGGTCTCCCCCTGAGCCGCATCCTCTCCCCCCCATGACCGAGTGCCGGCGGCCATGTTGGCTCATGGCATCGTGGGGACGAGTGATGCGCGGGGCTCTCTTCACGCTTGGCCACCGCACCGTGGATGGAAGGAGCCGGTGGCAACGCGGGGGACACAAATGGCGAATGGCTTTGGGCTCCACCCCCCTGGAGCAGCTCCCAGAAACCCCCTCTGCCCAGAATCACCTTCCGGGGCGGTTCTCCATTGGCCACCAGAGGACGGCTGGTGGCTCCTCCGAGCCGTGGGCAACGTGGATGGTCCTTCCCATGCTGAGGGACAGGAGATGCCGGGGTTTAACCTGGGAAGGACCCATGGGATCCCTGGGGAGCAGTGTCCACCTCGACTTGTGGGTGCCACCACCTCGCCAAGGTCCAGCTTCTCTGAGGGACCACCTTGGTAAAGACCAACTCGGAGGGACCACCTTGCCAAGGACCAACTTGGAAGGACCATCTCACCAAGGAGCATTTTTGAAGGACCACTTCGCCAAAGATCAGTTTCCCTGAGGGACCATCTCACCAAGGACCAACTTTTGAAGGACCACCTTGTGAAAACCAACTTTGAGGGACCACCTTGCCAAGTTCCAGCTAGGAAGGATCACCTTGCTGACGACCAGTTTGAGGGACCACCTTGCTGTAGACCAGCTTTGAAAGACCATCTTGCCATGGACCAGCTTTGAAGGACCACCTCGCCAAGGTCCAACTTGGAAGAACCACCTCACCAAGGACCAGCTTTGAGGGACCTTCTTGCTAAGGACCAGCTTAGAAGAACCACCTTGCAAGGACAGACTTCCCTGAGGGACCATGTCGCCAAGGACCATTTTTGAAGGACCACCTCGCCATGGACCATCTTTGAGGGACCACCTTGCCAAGGACCATTTCTGAAGGACCACCTTGCCAAAGATCAGCTTCCCTGAGGGACCATCTCGCCAAGGACCAACTTTTGAAGGACCACCTTGAGAGAATCAACGTTGAGGGACCACCTTGCAAGGACCAACTTTTGAAGGACGACCTTGCCAAGTTCCAGCAAGGAAGGACCACCTTGCTGAAGACCAGTTTGAGAGACAGCCTTGCCAGGGACCAGCTTTGAGGGACCACCTTGCTGAAGACCAAGTTCTTTGAGGGGCCATCTTGCCAAGGACCAATTTTGAAAGACCTTCTTGCCGAGGACCAAATTTGAAGGACCACCTTGCAAGGACCAGTTTGAGGGACCACCTTTCCAAGGACCAACTTGAAAGGACCACTCTGCCCAGCACAAACTTCTCTGAGGGACCACCTTGCCAAGGTCCAATTTCTTTGAGGGACCACCTTTCCAAGAGCCATTTTTGAAGGACCACCTCGCCAGGGATCAGCTTCCCTGAGGGACCATCTCGTCAAGGTCCAACTTTGAAGGACCATCGTGCAAGGACCAGCTTTGAGGGACCACCTTGCAAGGASCAACTTCTCAGAGGGACCATCTTTCTAAGGACCAGTTTGAGGGACCACCTTACCAAGGTCCAGGTTTGAGGAACCACCGTGCCATGGACCAGCTTGGAAGAAACACCTTGCCAAAGACCAAGTTCCTTGAAGGACCATCTTACAAGGACCAGCTTGGAAGAATCACCTCGCCAAGGACCAGTTTGAGGGACCACCTTGCCAAGGACCAACTTCTTGGAAGGATCACCTTGCCAAGGTCCTACTTTAAAGGACCTCCTTGCTAAGGACCAGCTTGGAAGAACCACTTTGCAAGAATCAGTTTGAGGGACCACCTCATCAAGGACCATTTTTGAAGGACCACCTCACCAAGGATCAACTTCTCTGAGGGACCACCTGGTCAAAGACCAAGTGCTTTGAGGTACCACCTTTCCAAGAACCATTTTTGAAGGACCACCTCGCCAGGGATCAGCTTCCCTGAGGGACCATCTCGTCAAGGTCCAACTTTGAAGGACCTTCTTGCCAAGGAACAGCTTCCCTGAAGGACCACCTTGCGAGAACCAAGTTTGAAGGATCACCTTGGCAAGGACTAACTTTGAAGGACCACCTCACCAAGGACCAACTTGTTTGAGGGACTTCCTYGCCAAGGATCAGTTTTGAGAGACCACCTTGCCAAGGTCCAGCTAAGGAAGAAGCACCTAGCCAAAGACCAAGTTCTCTGAGGGACCACCTTGCCAAGGATCAGCTTGGAAGAACCACCTCACCAAGGACCAGCTTTGAGGGACCACCTTTCCAAGGGCCATTTTTGAAGGACCACCTCACCAAGCATCAGTTTCCCTAAGGGACAATCTTGCCAAGGATCAACTTTTGAAGGACCACCTCATCAAGGATCAACTTCTTTGAGGGACCACCTTGCCAAGGACCATTTTTGAAGGACCACCTCGCCAAAGACCAGCTTCCCTGACGGACCACCTTGCCAAAGTCCAATTTCTTTGAGGGACCACCTTGTCAAGGGACCACCTCGTCAATGGCCAACTTTTGAAGGACC